CACCTAACAATCTCTTGATTCTCTGGCCGTCGCAGATGATGATCAGCGGCGCTCTATCTGCTGCATCGAGCAGGGTGGATAGGCGTTTGGATGCTACCGTTTAGGCCTTCGCGTCTTCTTATTTCCCTTGTGCTTTTCATCCTTGGCTTCCCGCTTCATTTTCACTTTTATCCCTCCCGTTTTTATTCCCTCAATTCTCGGCCTTTTCTCACCTTGTTTTAATAGCCGCTTGTCCTCTAGTTTCGTCTCACGCAATCGCAGGGTCTGACTCCAACCCAGTCGACAACTCTGCTTTCAACCAAGCTGACAACGTCAGTTCATCCGTTTCCCTTTGAAATCCTCGATCCTCGCTAAGACTAGCATGCCTCAACGTGCGCACTTTGCTACAGATTGGCCAACAGGCAGCGCTTGCCCGCACACTAGAGACCCTATCGATCGATATTTGCTGTTTATCTGAAATCCGCAGGCAAGATCCGAGCTTCGTTCTTACCCAGCGATCCCCCACATGCAACACTGGCGGCACATTCTCACTGCGCCTGTCTGACAATGATGCAGCTTCAAATGCCGGTCAAGCTGGCATCGACATTGTTTTGAGTCCCCTGACTGTAGCTACCCTGATCAATTGGATTCCAGTCAACAGCCGGATGTACGCCGTTAGATTAGCTGGCTCGTTCCAAGCTTCGAAGTTACATGGGGACATGTGGTGCCTATTTGTCATTGCGGCCTACGCCCCCACAAACTGCAGCACTGATTCGGTGATAGATGAATTATATCACCAAGTTGACGCGCTCCTCAGTTACAGAAATAGTACGGATACCGTGGTGCTTGCTGATAATCTAAACGCCCAAGTTGGAAAATTGTCCTCTGATGTGCTTCATCTGCGCGGCCAATATGGTGTAAGCTCCCGTAATGATAACGGTGAGCGGTTGCTACACCTGTGTGAAGATGCTTGTCACATTCTAGTGAGCACTAGCTTTCGACATAGCACTCGCAGTAGAGTGACTGGCGCCCACGAGCCTTGGACCAACCATGGGCACAAATCGATCACATCGCGATCAGTTACCGCTGGAGGGCTGTGTCCAAGAATGTCGCTCGATTCGGAGCACGACCGTAGACTCTGATCATGCTTTTGTGTGCCGACCTTCGGGTGCATTTCGGCGGAGGCCCACAACGTCGTTGTGCGCGCATAGACACCAGCCAACCGGCGAAGCCAGGTGTTCTGAAAACATATCAATGTACGCTGGCATCCGGGCTGAGTAAGCGCCCACTGAAGACCGGTAAAGAACATTGATCGCATATTCGCCGGGCGTTACTGTCAACAGGCATATTCTCGTGTGGCAAATCAAATTACCAACCTGGATATTGGGTCTCTACACATTCTCTGAAACTTCCGGAGACTTGCCGAGGTATTCCGTCTGGAAGCGAATACAATGAGACTCTCAAAGGTCTCGGAGCAAAACTGCATACTAGCCTGAAGTTAGAGACTGCGAAGCCTGGTGGTGTCACCGTGCCTCGAAGATGGAAGTGGCCGCTGCCGTTGGTAATCATCGTAACTTATTCCGTCCGATAAGGGAAACGGGCAGCAGGAGACCCGTTGTTAGCGAAACCATACGCGCCGAGTGGACAGACGATCCACAGCTTGTCAAAACGCTTGGAGTGTCGGGCCGAACACTTTGAGAAGTAGTTTAACTAGTTGTATATCATTCTATTTCGGACATTGAGTAATCTTCTCCCTGAGTCGTCTCCTTAGATCCGCCCTCACGCGCGGACGTCGAACGTGAGGTCAGACTGTTGAAATTGCGTGGTGACAGGGGCAGATAGCATTCCCCCAGCTTTCTTCAACTTCGACAGACCTGCTCTTGTATATGATTTACAAGAGTTACTAGTGAAACTGAGAGCAGAAAACTGTCCCAAGAGACTGGAGCCGCTTCGTCATAGTCCCAAATTTTAATGGAGGCCTCCGTTCGGAATGCAGCAATCATAAAGTGATCAGTCTGATCTGGAATGTCACTAAATTGTTTGCTTCTGTCGTTCTGCACAGACTGACTGACACTCGCGAAAGCCAGATGCGCAAGGAACAAGCCGGGTTTCGTTGAAATCGAGGCGGTATTGACCACATCTTCACTTTCTGTCATTTGTTAGAGCACTGCCATGTTTCTTGCCTACCTACCGTAGTCGTGTTTCTTGACCCCAAAGGTGCCTTCGAATCGCTTGATTGATTTGCCATTTGGTCTCGTCTGCTCAGGAAATATGTGCGTAACAAGTAGCAGTACATTATCAGAGCGCTGTAGTACGCGTATAGTTTGGGCAGATGGAGGATTTATGGCAAGCTATCGCCGCTCTTCCGTATATTGTTGTGTGAGACAAGATTGCCCGTTGTCACCATTTCACTTTAATATCGCTATTGACAAAGTCATGGAAACAGCGTTCGCTGGACACGACCTGGAAGGTGTAGAGCTGCTTCCTGGTGAGCGACTTCTTGACTTGGGGCATGCTGATGACATTGTTCATCATATGTGACAGCGCCCAAACGTGCCAAGTAGCATTGGATAGATTAGCACTGACCGTTAATTGTTTTGGGCTATGCTTTGCTCCCTTAAGGTGCTAACCCATTCTCCAAGACTGGCAGGGACCCACCCATGCGCTGACCCTTGGTGATGATCAGCTAGAAGTCGTTCAAGAATTCAGGTACCTGGGCAGCTATCTTACCACCCATGGAATTGAAGCTGAGATCACGAACTGTATACAGAAAGCTCAAGGAGCTTCTGCCAATCTCCGCCAACTGTGGCGCCGAAGTGACATCACTCTCGCTCTGAAGGGTAGTTTACAATGTAGCCGTCCGTTCAACCCTCTTATACGGTTGTGAAACCTGGTCGATCAGTTCTACAGATATAAGGGGGCTGGCTACGTTCGACCATCTCTGCTTTTGCAGCTTAGTTCATGTCTGGTGGGAGCACCGCCTGAGCAATGAATCTGTTCGATATCGTGTATTTGGTGCAAGAAGAGCGAGTGATCTGCTCAGCACCATTATATCACGCACCAGGCTCTGATGGTTGGGCCACGTGTTCCGCATGCTAGCCCACCGACCCCTGCGTCGTGTGTTGTTTGCGCGCCCAGGGTCCGGATGGAAGATAAGGAGGGGAGGTCAAGCGATGAGTTGGCCAAGAGGAATGAAAACCCTCAGTTGGAAGTTGGCGTCGGTTGGGGCATTCCGACTGTTTGGCTGGGGTCTTAAGAACGGTGAACACGTATGGTTGGACACACTTGTTGATATGGCTTGGATCGAACCCCAGTAGGGTTTATGCTTTGAGTTTCTTTGTCCATCCTCTACCCTTTAGGTTCCGTCTCCAATTCAGATCTCATACGAAATTCATAACATAACATTTAGCATGATCTTACTTGCCTTGGCTATTTTATAGCGTAATTTTTGCTATCTTTTCGCTTTTGTATTGCGGCACATTAGCTGAGGTGTGTTTCTCAGCCTTAGCTAACGTGTATTGATGATGAAATTGAAATTGAGCAGAGGTGTATTTCTTGCCCTTTACTAACGTGTATTGATGCTGATGCTTCTCGATCACAAGAGATGATACACCATCAAAAGTCAGGCGCGTAAATTTGACGGGTTTACCTCTTATTGTTGTGGGGTCGTTTTATGTACGGACCATTGACCAACAGTTGTGCTATCCGTCATTTAGCGGTATCCCGTGACACATTCTGTCCATCGAACCCAATCTATGACCGCTGGACTATTGCCAAATACCTATCAATTTCTCTCTTAGACATTGAACTTCAATTTATATGACCCCAACCTGTTATCGATCTCATTATCATTATAAATACACCTCAACTGAAGGTGAGGAACATACTTCAGATAATGTGCCGCAATACATTAAGGTTAAATATTAAGAATGACAGACTATAAACTAGTTCATAAAGTAAGTTACATAATGTTAAATCATGTTATGCGTTTACTATGAGATCGTAATTGAATATAGAGGAATTGGGAGTGACAAAGAAACTCACAACACAAACGCCATTCCCCCCCCCCCCCCCGTACCGTTGCTCCGCCTGGTTTCCGGACGTGTTTCTGTATGTGCCAAGAGCGTCTCCCCCAGTATGCTTCAGGGGGTCAGTGTTATCCAACCCATTACGGCAAGCTGTTTGCCCTCCTTTTGTATTATTGTCTTCTGTTGAGTTACACACTGCTCCATTGAAACGCTTTTTGTCTTGCGTTTGTACACTTATTTTTCCTATTATTATTACAGGAGCCGAAATCCATTTTTCTCCAATCTCCACACGGAGCAAACGCCTTGCAGTCCATAAAGATGACCTCCAAGGTATATAGTTACGAGTTCACATCCCACTGATTACTTACTTCTTCTAGGCGGAGTTACGCACCCCAAAACCACCGAAGCCACCGGAAAAGCCTCTGATGCCTTACATGCGCTATAGCAGAAAAGTTTGGGAACAGGTCAAGAACTCTAACCCTCATCTAAAGCTATGGGAAGTTGGGAAAATTATCGGCCAAATGTGGCGCGAACTTCCAGATGATGAAAAGACCTTATATATCGAAGAGTATGATTCTGAGAAGATACAGTATACAGAGGCCTTGCGGCAGTATCACAGTTCCCCTGCATATCAAGCCTGGCTAGTTGCCAAGGAGCGTGGTGAGTTCCCATATGTAATATTATATCTCAATTTTCAAGCTGAAAAGTTACTTGAGGAACAGGATCAGGAACGAAAACAGTCCATCAACCGCTCTCGTGATCGTCCGGGCGACATATCTCAAGCTGATCTACGGGAGTCTTATATGTTGGAAGACAATGAAGAAGGTAACTAATATCTCATTTTACTAGCTTTGCTCACTGGTTAATATTTAGCTCACCGGCATTTTCTCTTTTATGTATTTGAATTGAATTTCATCATGGTGACATTTCGATTGTTCTCATTAATACTGAACACATTATTGTGGGAACAGGTAGAAAATTAAACCTGTTTAACTCCATCGCAAAAAACTCAAAAGGTTATCAAAGGTATCTGCCACCCGTTATAATCTAATCGTTCTTTAAGTTCATATGCAGTATTTTAAAATATTTGATTTACCGTTTCACTAGGCTCACAAACATAAGATGTCTGCTAGTGTGCCATCGTTCTCTGATTCGAGCGGTGGTGTAATGCAAATCCAACGAAATTTTGAACTGTTGCACGGATTTGGCCCCAACCACTTGTTCTGGCAAACTGTCCCAACCCTCTACCAGTCTCCGAGACACAGGAAATGGAGTAATCGTTTTATCTCTGATACCATAAGCTTGTATCATTGTCCACGTGTGCTGCACGGTGTTCGCAAACGAAGTAGTGGCCTCAACACGTGGAACTCACCAAGATGTGATCTACCGTAGGTCACGATGAGATCGACTCGCACCCAGTCCAGCCTTGGAAAAGTGTCTTGGGTCCAACCGAGGAGCTTGTTACCGGAACCGAGCCATAGGCTGAACCAGAAACTGACTCGGCTGCAAACGTTTATCTATGAAAAGCCGATTACTTTTCTTCCGTCGGTCATGTCAGTGAAAACCGACTAGAAACTCTTCCTGGTTTTGATGACGAGTGTGTTTCACCACCAAAGATGACCTGTCGAGCCGGAAAAACATTTCTGAGATATTTGCTTAAGTGTTTAATAATGTTATAGATGCGTTTTGTATTTTTTTTACATATAAACGGTGACCTTACTTATCCTTGTGTTCTACAACACCGGTTCTTTGTATGTGTTATCTTCATGGCCAAAGTATCCCCGTTAAGGGGTAACTTTGGCCATAGTACATATTTTAAGACAACTGCCTGAAGGATATAGAATTACATTAGTTGCCATTTTCTACAGAATCATAGCTATATCTCATGAGCAGATCAGTTAATAATTTTATCAAAAGCGCTGATAAAGGTGTGCTACATTCCAAACCAAAACCGGAAGACATCACACGTCGAGACAGTTGGCTCGATGGTGTAGGAAGCACGTGACTGAAGCAACGAAACTAATTTGAATTCAACTGACGTTCCAATGTGAGGCATTAGAGGGCCCATTGCCAAACACTAAACGATAGACCGCAACTTTCCTCACTACTTTCTCCCGCAGTACATGAGCAGCATTGCGCATGCATCCGTGACCGAAACTGGTCTGTCTCCCAATGTCCCTGGTGCGTAGCTGCCGGGTTTCTAAATCGCACCACATCCCTTTCTTTAACTTATCTGCGGACACCCTGATGTCACTCGGCACACACATTGCTCCGTTGGCAACAACGTCAAGTGATTTTAAACTCCCTGAAATCTTCAGGTTATATGAAGCAAGTCTTACTACTGTAAAGGTAGACAGACCTCACTATAGGCGTGTCACCATATGGCACGTTAAGATTCCTTCAAGTGCCTTTAGTATCATATGTTTCTTGATAGCACTTCAAACTTCTGCCCAAAAGCGCATGTCCTGCAAATCCAAGAACACACATTATTATAATTACTAACGTAATTTTTCTCCTTTTTGTTAAGGTTTTCATCCCAGTAGTTCACAAGCTACATAGCAGTCTAGTCCGGAAAAGCACCCGACGCGTTTCACCCTATTGAGGCTCCTCAGTGCTGCGCATTCCCTCGGTCCTCTAATGAGGATCGAACCCATGACCGCTAGAGGCAGATGTGAACTAGCCAACAGTTTAAGCCACTGAGCTATGGGTACCTTGGCTGGGCTACAACTTTTCAAACCAACTGGGATATTGCACCACCTATCTTCCACTGTCACTGACAGTGGTTAGCCTGCGAGGTGATGACGTCCTCTCACTAGACGCTATATCCATAGCATTTGGAACTAAGAGATGCTATTTATTTTTATATTACTCGTAAGTAGCAGGACTTTAGTTGTAATTTTGTGCTTTTTGCGGACTAGGCTCTGCTATGTAGCTTGTGAACTACTGGGATGAAAACCTTACAAAAATTACAACTAAAATCCTGCTGCTTACCAGTGATTTTTCTCACTCACACTTTAGTTGTTGCAAATGCGGCTAACAATATTGGTGAATTGGTCATCTCTATTTCCCTTGTCTCCAGCAGTCGTGGAAATATCGAGTGACCGACGGCCCTGTGACAACATCGCGTTATTTAACGATGTGTGGATGGGCTGATCCCCGCTTTACGGAGTAACGCTCTGAACTCATGGTTGGTGTCGTCAGAATCCCAAGTTTGCAATACAAGTGACAGTTATGGAGGGTTTCTTTGTTGGTCTCTCCAAAACCCAATACATTTAGGGAGAGTCATTGTCTAGCTGCGATTTGTACACCCTGTTCGATGTCAACTTTATTGCAGGCAGATATCTGCTCACGTGTATCAAATCGATTAGCGAGTGTTCAGGTTTGAACCAATCATGATTTCTACTCCACTCTGCTTTCTGGCTGTTTTATCTACGTTTCTGGGCGCGCGAAAATAGCAGAGAGAGTATGAGTTACTCGCAGCTTGTTCGATAACCACGCAATTCGTCAACTTCTGTCTCGAAGATCTCACGCACATCAGAACCTGGTGGTGGTATCCAATGTGCGTACGAGTTCAGCCTGTTATCTTCTTTGTCCTGGACCACGTACGTTAAGCGTACTCTGAGGAACCGGATAGTACAGACTGCCAACCACTTTGATGATATTGTAGTTTTCAATCTAAGAAGTTCGATGGTGCTTAAATTGTCGTGTCACTGTGTAACTGAAAAGTATGGATAACGCATACGTACTTTATGCTATGCATTGCTATATTCTAACAGCAAGCAGTTTTACGTGGGCTCGGTTACTGATATTGCGTCCAGACCTATGCGACACCGGTGGTCCCGTTCAGGGGTTGCAAGCTAAACGCCTGAACCACTACGCCCCGCGGCTGCAGAAGGAAAATGGGTATCGAGATCGAGCCTATTCCGAGAGGACGGGTGCGAAAAGATGGGCACCGCTTATCCACTCTGTCATATGCAGTAGATGGACAACCCATTTGTAACTGTACAACGGTTGTTACAAGCTCAACTCAAAGTTTACTGTACTGATCACCGCTACAACCATGGGCTGGAATACTAAAAGGACATCCCCGAGACAACTAGGGCTTTTAGCTAAATCATTTCCCCCCAAAAGTTTGACTGTATAGCAGTGAAATTGCGGGAACATTTTCATAGAGGCAAATTCGCTCTTCCAACTTCTGACTTGAATATACAGGAGAGTGCGTTTGTTTGAACTCCACTCATTTACCAGTATGGTATGATTAGCTCTCATTGTGTTCCAAAGCGCTACCCCCTATGGATCAGTGGATTGTAGGTGTACACAATTCCTCACAGCGCTTTAGGACTCAGTGTTTTTTTGAGTAACTGGGCACTCTTAAGTTACTGAGAAAGTATTATTTGTTCATGCCAACCTACTTTGTGCTACGAACTCCACTATTATCTCTACTTTTTAGGCGTGTCTTTCCTTTGACTCCTCTGTTTGGTGCCTAGCATTCCTTGGCGTTCATAAGTCGCGTCTCGACTCAGACTGGAGAGGAGCATGGGTCGTAGTCAAAATCTACGTTTTCACAACCGTGCCCTATCCTTTTTTGACCTTAACCTTCACTCCACCATCTCTCTCTTATTTCTTAAGAATCCGAGGATCAGTACACAGCAAAGCACGTTGCAGCTGCTCGCTTCCAGCGTAATCACCGATTAATGCAAGAGATTCTCAGTGATACTCGTCTGCCTGATCCCGGACAATTAATCACTCAAAGCCGATTGAATACGCTTCGTTTGCAAGTGGAACAATTAAAGAGCCATAAACGCAATCTTTGCCAAGAGATTGAGGGATGTGAATTTCGTCATCGCTCCAAGTTACAGCGTATTCAAGAAGACTCGGACAAATTTATTGCCGAATATCAAAAACTAACTGCTGCTCGTCCAATGATTACCGAAGCACAATTTGCTGAGATGATTATCAAGGCCAAACATGACGAGGACGAGCGCCTTTCACGTTATTTGGCGGAAGCCGAACTCAGGCGTCGTAAACAACAGCAACGTCAACAACAACGTGAAGCAGAACTGGCTGTGGAATCTGAACGCCGTCGACAACAGCTACAGCAACAACAGCTGTTGCATCAGGCCCGGGTCCAACAAGCTCAGGGTACGGAAGCAAGCGCTCAGCCTCACTCATCGAATGACCGAAGTGTCGAACGCCCATCTGCCACACACGTATGTCAATCTTTACGATTACTTTGAATCATCTACTTTTCGTGGTTCCATCGAAATAAATACTACCATGTTAGCCACTGCGAACTTATGCATTTTCCATTAATTGGTCCTAGTCCAAATGTCTTACCGTAGCCAATTTTGTGATGTTATCCCTCACTGTAGAACAGCACACACCTTCCCTTTCCGAATGACTCGTTTTTTGTGTCATCACCTGTTTTGGTGACTCTAAGTGCTCTTTCTTTGGCCGCCTTTTAGATAACGGCCATGCACGTTTATTCCTTGATTTGCTACCCACTGTGTAGTTCAGCAGATTTGAGCAGTTCCTTGCTTCATGTTAGCTGACCCATCATTTTGCCTGTCTGTTTCCATTAGGAAATGAACGAGTCAGTTCCACAGATGTCATCCAAACCACAGATTGCCCAGCTTCCAACCGCCGCTAGTTCAAAAGCGGACACCCTTCTGACGGAACCAGTCTCACAGTCTGTCGGCGTTCCTTACGCATCCGGTATATCAAACTCTTATCCCCACGCACCTGCTCATCCCGCGCAACGTTTTTCGCAAATCAGCCACACTCAACACCATTATCCACCACCTCCTAACTACCCACCGAATGCAATGTCTCCCTTGTTGGTGCAACAAATGGGAATGTCACCTCGCGGACAGTCTCCCGCTTTCCAACAAATGTTTGGCGCTCCGGGACTGCCAAAGGCGACTTCATCGGGGATGCAAAAGAAAAACGCCTCATCGTCTTCATCAACCTCATCGGGATCCTCTGCATCGTCAACTTCATCCAAAAGGAAAAAGTCCGACGCTGTGATCGGTTGTGATAATGGCAAGTCGAAGAGGCCTGATGGCAGTATGGAAGTTTCGGTGTCACCGTTAGTTCCGGATCGCCGGGGAGTACCCGGAGATGTCACCTTGGATCAGTCGCGTCAAGTGGAACCCTTTACTGGACCTACTCCAACCGGGGAGTACATGCATACTCCGCCACAGCCCCCACTAGTACGCCACCCGGCACCGCAGCAGTATATGCAGTCACCGCAGCAGATACCAACTGGTAGCGCGGCTGCTGGCCACCCATCGGCCCCCGTTGCGCCACCTTCATTTGGTTACGAACATGGGCCCCCCATAAACCAGGGTTCATCCATACCTAGCAACGGCCCTTCTAGCGGATATTATCCCCCTGCTATGCAGCAGCCTGCTGCTGCCACGGGAAGCTTCTCATCCCAGCCCCGACCACAATTCGCTCACGTCAACTACGGCCCCGGCCAATATTCGTCAGGTACTCCGCATGCCCCCACTTCTTCGGAGCACCCACCTCCGCCTCCCATGTACGTCCAACATATGACGCAACAGCAGCAGCAGCAACAACAACAACCACCACCACATCTTGTGCAGCAGGGACCACCAATGATGGGGTCACCACCACAAACGGCTGGTCATTCTGGCCATCCTCACCAGGGTTCTCCAGCGGGCTGGCACCACAGCGGGTCCACGAGCTACGCACCAGTGCAGTATGCTGGAGTGCGATACCCAAGTCCTGGCACCCCGGTCGGTTACGCTACCCACGCCCCGCGCCATATGCCCGTTGCTGGCAGTGGTTATGGAATGTCACATCCTGGAGTGCACCACCCCAGTCAGCATCCCCACCAACCGATGTCTGGCCAGCCTCCGCCAACCTCTGAACCAGGAGTTTCTGGCCAGGCCATTCCCGCCCCTCCGCCTTACCAGCAACAACAACAACAACAAGCACACGGTAATTTTCCTCCCGGTTATTGGTCTGCATCGCATTCAGCACATCCGGAGTACAGTTCTATGGGTCAACCAAGCCCTTACATGTCGGCTCTCCATCCAGAAGCTCCTGGTATGTCTCATCCGCCCTCGTCAATGGACGGCATGCAATCTAGTTCCGCGATGTCCAATCACCCTCACACTGAACCCAATCTTAATCACATGAATCCTCAGCATCCCCACCACGCTGGCGTCTATTATCAGGGTAAGATTATTGCACTGTGCATTTAGTACAGTATGTTCACCTTGCGTCCCGGAGCATTTCCATCGCTCTTACTTTTTCTACCTTGCTACTATGGCAACCAATGTTTGCTTAATAACACTGGTTTCTTTGTTATTCTAATACAATGTGAACTACAAGTGGCGGGCTTTATTCACTTTTCAGGTCGTACCATAGCGTACAACGAACAATCGTGTAGCAGCTGCTCAAGGGATTACTTCACTGTGGTGATTACCGTCCCACCAAACTGTCCTCGAAGCGTTCGCTGAGTATCTATGCTTCTACACTCCTTATGCGTTTAAGGCACTAGCGTCCAGTGACAAACTTTCGACCACCGGTTCATCACTCTGGCTTTAATTTTTCCTTACCCACCCACGGATGTCCGAGTTGTTCAGACATCTGACTCGTAATCCACGGGCCAACAGTACGAACCTTTGTAGGTGCAAGTGACTGCTGCTGGTTGCGTGGCAACGGAGTGTGAATACAAAGTACCGACGTATTGCTGTTGCTTTTACTCGTTGCCCACTGTTTTACTATGCTCTTTACTTTTTTGGAAGTGAGCAATAAAATTTTAATTCATTGTTTTTCGTGTTTTGGAGTATATCCAAATAGACAAATTCTACTGTAGATTACCTATTTTGTCCATGTCCGGCTGTGTGCACCTTACGCTTTTGGTCGTCAACGTTTTGGTCGAATTAAAATCATGGTCGGTCAAAGAAAAATCGCTGTTTTTTGGCGAATGTTTAACCCTGTGCTCACATCTGCTGTTCTATCCGTTTCTCTTACTACTAGTTAGGATCTGATGTCAATACCCATTGCGCTTGTACTGAGCTATCCACCGTAGTCTGTTATTTTTGTTTTCTACGTTTTACTGGCATACTTCCTACCATCTTGGCGAATTACACAGTTTTGTATCCGTTTTCTCGCCACATAATAACTCTCAATCGCTTGTTTTGAAGGCTTATTTTTCAGTTATTTAACTCTCATATTTTGTTTCGATTTCAAACTTCGTTTGCGTATTTTTCCCCAGTGTCATTGACTATTTTCACCCTTTTTTCTTGGGCGCAATGTACATTCTAGCTTAACGCAGTGCTGCCTGAACCAAGCACTCCGGGTTATTGCGTTCTGTAAGTGTTTCTGGTTGGCCGATGTTACCTGACTCCACATTATCTAGCTTCTTTGTTTACGCCCCATCGAATACGCGTTTCCGTGAATGGCATCCGGAATGGCATCTAACTCACGAGTCTGTGTGT